CTTGGGGCCAGAGCGCCACCTACTACATGGTGCAGATCTGTCTGAACCCGGACAACGAGGTCGTGGGCGGAGAGGTTTTTGAGAACCTGGTGGCTGACAGCAAGTAGGACCCGGCGGGTGTCGGGGTGGGAGGGCGGGGCAGGGGCAGCACCCAGGGAAGGGGGGGGCAGGCCACGTGAGGGCCGGCGGGCGTCGGCGGCTGCCGTCCCTTCCGTCCCTTCCGACGCCCCGCCCGGACGCCCGCAGCTCCACCGCCAGGAGGGACTCGGAGCAGCACGGCGTGCGCACGGCCGAGAAGCTGCTGCGGGAGTCCTACCCGCACTCGGCCGCGGGCCAGACCCAGCTGCGGCTGCTGCAGAGCCTGTGCCTGCTGGCCACCCGGGAGAAGGCCAACGTGGAGGCGGCGCTGCACACCTTGGTCCAGATGGTGCAGGCCGAGGTGGGCGCGGCGGGCGGGCGGGGGGCGAGGCCCGAGGCCCGAGGCCCGGGGGCCGGGGCAGCGCGCCCACGCCCGCTTCCCGCGCAGGACAGCATCTCCGCCCTGCTGGCCATGGCGCAGGCCTACGTGCTGCTGAATCAGGGCCCCAAGGCGCGCATGCAGCTGAAGCGTCTGGCCAAGGCCCCGTGGGCGCTGGCCAAGGCCGAGGACCTGGAGAAGGGCTGGCTCCTGCTGGCTGACATTTACTGCCAGGGCGGCAAATTCGACCTGGCTTCGGAGCTGCTGCGGAGCTGCGTACAATACAACAAGGCAGGGGGCCCCCCACCGCGGCCATGGGGCAGGCGGGGATGCCAGGAGCGGTGCCTAGGCGTCAGGGCAGAGGAAATGCGGGTTGGAACCCAATGAGAAGAGGCGGGACAGAAGGGGGCCCAGACAAGCTAGGGCCCAGTGGAAATGGGGGGGGGGGCAAGGCAAGAGGAGGCGCACAGGGTCCGGCAGACGTGAGAGGGGAATATGAGATGGGAGAGAGAGATAGGAAGGGTTCAAGAAATCAAGGAGCCTGGGGTCAGACCTGGAAAGGGGTCATGCAGGGGGTCAGGGTAGCCGGGAGGGGTGCATGGTTGACCCCTCGCAAAGGTGGGAGATGCTGCTGGATTCCCTGAGAGGTTTGGGTTAATGCGGTTCATCACCCTCCTTTGCCCCCCACGGGTTCTCCCCTGTGCTGGGACCGGGTGTGACTTTCCCTGCAGTCCTGCTGCAAGGCCTATGAGTACATGGGCTTCATCATGGAGAAGGAGCAGTCCTACAAAGACGCAGCCACCAACTACGAACTGGCCTGGAAGTACAGTCATCATGCCAACCCAGCTATTGGTAAGGCAACCGGCCAAGGTGCACATGGGCGAGGAGGGTGCTGGGCAGGAGGACCAGCACCCTGGCTCTTGGGCCATTAGGGTACCACTGTCTGTGTGCCCTGTGCTCCCCTTGACAGGCTTCAAGCTCGCTTTCAACTACTTGAAGGACAAGAGATTTGTGGAGGCCATTGAAGTCTGCCACAATGTAAGCCATTGTAAGGCACTGTGAGACACTGGGGGGTGGGGGGTGGGGGGTGGACCTTGGTGCAGTGGCCTGGTCCTGGTGCTGAGACAGGCACCCCTGGCCTGATGCTGCACACTCTTCCTTTCTCCATTCCAGGTCCTCAGAGAGCATCCTAACTACCCCAAAATCAGAGAAGAAATTTTGGAAAAGGCCCGAGGGTCTCTCAGGCCATAGCTGTGGTCAGTGGGAGTCAGGGCGGGTGGAAGCCATCAACCTACGCAGGTTTCATGGAAGGGTCAGGAAGTGGGTCAGTGGAGAAGAGATTCAAAAAATGACATATTCTTACCCATTTCTGTAATGTGTGTGGTTTATTTGAATCACGCCTCATCTCGTCTAAGGGGCATCCCAAAGCTTTGTTTTTAAGGCACAAGAAGCAATTTGCTCTGAGAAAGAAGTTAGCAATTGGCCTTGCCTATGCTGGGCTCAGAGCACCTTCTTTTGGGCTGCATTTTTATTCCAAGCTCTGCAAGGGAGCAGAGGGGAACTAAGAGGTGGCCCTTAAACATTTCCTACAGCTATTTTAATATTGTTATGTCAGTTTATAAATGCCTCCCCTCTCTTTTTTTTTTTTTTAAAGATTTTATTTATTCATAGAGACAGAGACACAGGCAGAGGGAGAAGCAGGCTCCATACAGGAAGCCCGCCCGGGTCTCCAGGATCACACCCCAGGCTGCATTAAATCGCTATGCCACCGGGGCTGCCCTGCCTCCCCTCTCCTATCTGGTCTCTAGACTCCCAGAGCTCAAGATGCAGCTGCTCCTCCCTACCCCCTGCCCACACCATCCTGCTCGGCTGTGGTACAGAGAGGAGGACCAGCTCAAAAGGTCCTCACTGAGGCTCTGGGTGAGGGAGACCACCATCCTGCAGGTTGTGAGGGCCATTGGCTCACTGTCCATACATTTTGTTGCCTCCCCAAATCCTCGGCTGGCCTCTGCTGGTCCTCACTGGTTTGGGACACAAACGATTACCCATGCCTGGTGCAGGAAAATACGGCCCAAGAAAAAATAGTTCCCTCTTCAGATTTCATAAAAGACACTGACAAATTTATCCTCCAGAAGCCCTTTCAGCACCTTGGGGGATGAAAGCAGTGGTCCCTAATTAGATGAATTATGTCACTTGTAACTGGGAAGAGGGTGACGAAGGCCACTCTTGCTGCAGCTCCCAACACCTCTCTCCTTGTTTTTCACGATGGCAATAATGGGCCAGTCTGGCCTTAGAGGAAGGAACTCAGGAGTATAAATTTCCCAAGACCTTCTGCTCTTCGAGCCTCAGTGTCCCCCTCTGTAGCAGGAAATTAGACTCGATCTGCATGTTCCCAAACCATGATACAAATCCCTGCCGATGATTGAGAGCAAATATTTTAAAGTTTAATAACTAGGTGTTTAAATATTATCTTTAGATAAAAGTAACTAGCATGATGACCTCATGAATTCATGAGTGCTGTTACTCAGAATGGTTCTAATTTTTAAGCATATTGATAAAATTGATATAAAGCGAAATACTATGAGTGGAATGCAGCTATGGCAAAATTTTCAAGAGACGTGGTCCAGTGGCTAGTTTGGAAACTGAACAGGTAGAGGTTGCTTTTAGAACAGACAGAATTGGGGCACCTGGAGGCTCAGTGGTTGTCTGCCTTCGGCTCAGAGTGTGATCCCAGGGTCCTGGGTTTGAGTCCCACATCGGGCTCCCTGCAGGAGCTTGCTTCTCCCTCTGCCTCATAAATAAATAAAATCTAAAAAAATAAAATAAAAAAAATTGTCCTTAGTGATAGCTGAGCCTTGTTTTTATAACATCCTGTTGATCATATGCATGGCCTCTTGGTCTGAGTCAATGATCTGGAATGCTTTCTCCAGGTTACTACCACCTTTCCTATGGGAAACCAGTCCCTTTACTAACATCTGCTTTACAATCTGGTTTCTTGGGGCAGTTTGTTGAGAGACAGGTTTGTCTGTAATGGAGAATGATGCTGTAAAGGGTTGTACATTAATCACATTTTTATTGGTGTAAAACTTAAATTGTCTTCATTTATCTAAAAAGAAAAAAAAAAAAAGCCAGAAAGTGATACTGTTGCGTTAGAAGGGAAGCCAGCAGGTTTGGTCCAGCCACAGGCTGTCCATGGGTTAGGAGCCTATGGGGGCTTCCAGCCAGGGAACTGGAGCCTCCAGGGGCTGCTGCCCAGAATCCCAGGCTAATCAAAGCAGGGCCTCAGAGCCCTTGGAGAGACCCAGAGTTTGAATCATGCTTGCTGAAGCAATCTCTGCAAGAGGCTTCCCAGGGACCAGCAAGAGGGGAGACAGTACAACTGAATGTACCAGGACACTCCACCCTGAGAAGCCTAAGGCTGTCCCTGGCTAAGCTGGTTACAGGAATAGGCTGCCCACCATAGGTCAGGCTCCACGCTATGGGTCCTCTCATGGCCAGGTGGCCATGTCCATGCATGTCCAGAGGCAAGAGATAGACACCCAAAGAGTGTCAGAACTGATAAAGAATAAAATGTAGAAGTAGAGGCAGAGAAATATGAAAACAAAACGAAGTTACAAACATGCACGCAAGGCTTACACACCCCAGGTACTCGTATGTGCGAACTAAACGAGCTTATGAGGCGAGCAGCATTATTATTTGCACAGTACTGAGGACATAAAGACACAGTAGTAGTAGACAGGAAGTGATTTGCCTAAGTCACCTCGGCTGCGTAGTAGAAGAGCTGGGATTTGAACCTGGCACTCTGAGTCCATACTCTTACCCAGTAAGCCACTGAGATGAAATAAGGGGAGCCCAGCACAGAGCAAAAGGCCCAGCATTAGAGTGAGAAAGAGACTCAAATCTGGTCTTGTCTGGTCCTCACTTCCAGCACTTAGAAATCATTATTCCTAAGGGAGAAAGGACCTTGCTCCTCAGGCCCTGGCTGGGACTCCCCAGGGCAGGGTGTGGCTTGCTCCTCTGGCCTGCGGGCCACAAGGCTGCTGGGGACAGGTCAGACGGGTCTGGCTGGCCCAGAGGGAGGAGGTCCTACAGCTCTGGTCCCCAGGGCCCTCAGCTGCTCAGCCCCACACAAGGCCTCCACCAGCCACATCCTGGTGCCAGCCCGACTGGGGGGACCCTGCACTCAGGGTCAGGCCCCACCCAGCTCAGTGTCACCAAGTGGGGAATAGCCTAAGCAGATAGCCCTGTCTCCGGAGACTGCCCTGCTGCTCCCCACCATCCCAGGTGACCACCGGGGACAGAGGGGTTCCGGGAGAGGGAAACCGGCTCCACCTGGGGTGCCAACCTCCCAGCTGGCTTCCTGTCTCCAATGTGACCAGGCTGCATGGAAGGAGGCCCACTGTGCTGTGTCCCCCACTCCTACCCCAACATAGCCTCAATGTCCACACTGCCCCACAGGGCCTATCCCCCCTCCCTCCTTGCTACCTCCTGAAGGTGTACCCCCCCACCCCGATCTCCCAACTCCTCAAAGTGCAGGCCGCACTGTTAAAAATAGAGCCTCTTTATTGGTACCTGTAAGCTCACGTACAAGGTGTTCCCACAAGCACACAGGCTGGCAAGGCCTCCTGGGCAAGAAGGTAGGCCCAGAGCCTGGGCTTCTTGGCACAGACATAGAGAAAAATGAATAAATTATAGTTCTAACACTCAAGGACGATACAGAAATAAGGATGCAAAACTCAACCCCAGCAAATGAAGGGCATAGGAGCTGCAAAGGGGCTACCCCTCACCCCAGCCAACTGACCTTAGAGCATGGGCAGGTGGCCCAGGCAGGCAGGCAGTGCCCAGAAAGCCCTGAGATAGCAGTCAGGGGCATGCTGCGGGCCCCGAGGTTAGCCCCTTGCCCTCTCTGGGCCTCCTGCTTCCCTTCTACATTACTGGCCCAGGTAAAGGCTGTGGCCTTCAGGGAGGAAGATGAAGAGGCAGAGGACAGGAAGCAGAGGGGGCTGTGTGGGGCAGAAGCGGGTTTTGGTCACGGTTGGGCAGTCCGGCCCAGCCCCCTACCGCGATGCTGTCCTCAGCTACCCACCAAGAGCCAGGCATCTGCCCCAGGAGACATAGGGCCCAGGTTCACACCTGCTTTATACCAAAGCCCAGGCAGGGCAGGGTTGTGGGACTACAAGGCAAAAGGGCCTTACAGGGGTCTGTGCCCCACCCTGACCCCAGCACGGCCCCTCATCCAGAGGGGAGAAGCCTGTGCCATCTAGTCTCCAAATAAATTATGGAAATAAATTATAGTCTTCACAGTCCAGAAAATACAGCCACCTGGGTGGGTCTGGGGCTCAGGGTAGCAGAAGAAGCCATTAGAAGTGGCTGATCTCAGCCTTGTATTGTTCGGGCTAAGGAACATCACACAAGACCAAAAACGGGTCTGCAAAGCTCCAGAGGAGCCCTGTTTCCTCCTGTTCCTGGCACGCACCGTGGAAGTGGAAGTAGAGACTGTATGGGCTTTGGGGGTGGGGGTGGGGGGCCGAGTGGCTGAAAAGGAAAGCCCCCTCCCCGCCCTCTCTTCAGCACAGAAAGTTACAAAAATAAATAAATCAATCCAGAGTGTTGCACAAAAATCAGGAGTGCCCACATGGATGAGCCAGCCAAAGGGAAACCCTTAACATACAGACCTCAGGGAGTCCTCATTATTACTACAAGGCAGCTCTTGGGGCTCTCAGGACCACGGGAGGTACCCTGGTCCTCACACAGGCACTGGCCCCACCAGAGGCGCGGGGGCAGCATCCTCAAACAGCTGGCTGTCCACGAAGGGAGTCAGGGCCTCGGCAGCTGCGTCAGGCAGGCCCATGATGGACTCCAGGAAGCAAGCGCCAGCGTCCCCTGGTGGAGAAAAGGCAGGCAAGGGGAAGCAGGGTGCCTCGAGGTTGTCCAGGCTGTCAGACACCTTCCGGGAGGTGTAGTGAGGCCCCAGACTATAGTCCGGCAGGGCCTGGAGCAGCTCGAAGGAGTCACAGGAAGACAAGCTGAGGTCCACAGAGTCGCTCTGGCCAGCGTCCGAGCTGGGCAGCACCGAGGTGCCAGGGAGGCTGCCTTCTCCCAACCCCACAAGGCCCCCGTTTAGGAAGAAGCTGGCATCCAGGTTGGCATTTTCATCCAGGATGCCCGACGTGAGGCTAGAGCTGGAATAGCTGTGGGTCCAGCCGGCCAGGCCACCAGGGTCACCAGTACCAAAGATATCAGCGGGGTGGAAGCAGCTGAGGTTGTCGAGGCCCCCCACCCCCCCTTCCTCTTCCTCCTCCTCCTCTCCTCCTAGGTCAGAGTCACTGAGACTCAGGACCCGGGCCAGGCTGTCATCATCCACGTCAGGCTGGAAGCCAGGGCCAGGCAGGGCTGGGTGCGTGGCGCTGCTGGGGGCCTCACTTATACCCGAAGCTGTGGACGAGTCGGTCATGTCGCTGCTACAGCTGTTCTCGCCCAGCTCACTGCTCACAGGGGGCTTGGCCAGAGGAAAAGCAGGAGCCAGGGCCTGCTCAGCGGGGCTGGCTGGGCTGCCCGGGGCAGGAGCCTCCAGCTCCCCCAGGCTCTCAGCCCCCTGCTCCAGCTGCAGGCGGGTGAGCGTGTGCAGGAAGTGAGTCTGCACCCGGGCCTGATTGAATTCCACGCGGCCCTTGGGGTTCTCGCAGCCCTCCCTGCAGCAGCCGCAAGGGAACGCAGTGTGGTCCATCTGCAGAGAGAGAGCAGAGTGTGAGCAGGGATCCCACGGAGCCTGGAAGAGCCCTGGAGTTCCAGCTCCCCTTCCCGGCCCACACCTGGCACTTGATGCCCGCCAGACTGCAGCTGCAGGTCTCAGGGTCACAGACCCGATCACAGCGACAGCCGCAGTCCTCCCGGGACTGGCGCAGGGCCTGCAGCTCCCGCCTCTCCTCGCGATCGATCCTCCGCACACCAGCAGCCCGCAGCAGAGCCCGTCGCCGCCGGGCCGGGTAGGGCTGTAGGAAGGTCATCTCCTCCAATCGGCCACCTGCCACGGCCACAGCCAGGTCCTCTTCTACAGAGGCGTCATCGATGGCGTCCACTGTGAGTGGCAGGCTGGCCTCCGTCTCGGGTACCCCAGACTCCGCGAACTGTGTGCATGGGAGAGAGGAGGGACGTGAGGGTCTTGGCCCCCACAATCATTAGTCACTTGACAAATGCTCCCCGCATGCTTACTCTGGGCTGGGCACCACGGATACCACGTGAACCCTCAAGCCAGGAACACCGCCCTCAGGGCATCTGTAAAGATATCTCCTGTTCCTGCCATTCCCTGGTTTGCGCCCAACCCCCTGCCCCCCCCCCCCCCCGCCTGACACACTGACCCCTGATGTCCCATCAATTCTACATCCCCCTGCAGTGTGGTCAGACAACATCAGGCACCACGCCCCCAGCCCCCACAGCAAACGCAGGCCCTTCCACATCCCACTCTATCTGCAGATAATCCAGGCAACAGGCCCTGATGGAGCAATACTGGCTCCAGGGGCCTCTTTCCCTAAATGCGTAGGTAGTGAGCTAACTGGCCCCCACCCCAAAGCTCCGCCCCTCCAGGCTAGGCCTTCAGAAGCCGGCCCAAGGCATGGGCTCTGCAGAAGGGTCTCCCTACCTTCCACCGTAGAGCCTCCAACTTCTCCTCCTTCAAGCGTAGGCGCAGCTTCTCACGCCGTGCCCGGGCTTGCTCCTGTGTAAATTCAGCCAAGGAGAAGCGGCGGCAGGCAGTGTGGCGGGGGGCCATACCCAGAGTGCAGCCACCTCGGCTGGGCACGCTGGTGAAGCCTTGGCACCGGGGAAAGTAGAAGACAGTGATGCCATCGAAGGCTACGCGGCCTGGACGCTTCCGGGGAGCCCTCTTCAGGATGGACAGGGCTGGAAGGCAGGGAGGGAAGGGGCAGGGCATTAGTTCTCCATGAGGGACTGCATAACCTCCAGGAAGATGACGCTCAATTGCCTCTCCTCACACTTCCCGTTCTGACCTCCCACCACGGAAAAAGAAATGGATCTGAATTTAAGAGCCAGCCTGGCTGAGATTAGAGCCAGAATGGTACATTTGAATGCCATTCCTAGGTCAACACAGGCTTACCATTATTTACCAATCCAAATGACAGCATCTGTGGGATTAAACATCTTTCCCATCTTTATTGGCCATTTATAGGTTCCTTATGCAGTTTTTTATAGTTTTTTATTGATTTGTAGGAGCTCTTTATATATGATATTAAAGACACTGATCATCTAATATTTTATCTTTGAAATATTTTAGTCTTTTATTTTTGTTCGAGGCATTTTACCAAATAACTTCTAAGGCCATGAAATTTAAAATATATTGATCTTTTCCTTTATAGCTTCTTGCACTTTGTGACAGGCTTAGAAGGCTGTTATTTGGAACTGCCTTTCTAAGTTATGAACTGTATACTGATTAGTAAGCTATGCATTTGGTATATATATTTTTAAAGATTTTATTTATTCATGAGAGACAGAGAGAGATAGGCAGAGACCCAGGCAGAGGGAGAAGCAGGCTCCAAAGCAGGGAGCCTGATGTGGGACTCGATCCAGATCCAGGGACTCCAGGATCACGCCCTGGGCTGAAGGCAGGTGCTAAACAGTTGAGCCACCCAGGGATCCCCGCATTTGGTATATTCTATACAAATATTGGTATACTATTACTTTTTATTGGGTTGAACCATAAGTAGTTACCATAAAACAAATGAATATTGGCAATTGCATGTATTTCAATTTAATATTTTGCCTGTCCTGATCCAATACATAGAATTCTTATTCTTACTGCAACTGAACTGGGTAGCACTTACTAAGCAATGTTAACTATTAGGGGTGACAGCATCTTTATCTTGTTCCTTAGTTGGATGGCTTCCAATATTTCCTCATCAATTAAAATGCCAACTTTGGGGTTGAGACACATATTTTTCATCACTTAGGATAGAATTTACTTATCTCTATTTTACCAAGGGTCTTATCTAAAAGGAACATTATATTTTATCAAATGTTGTGCTTGAGTGTCTGCCTTCAGATCAGGTCATGATCCCGGGGTCCTGGGATCGAGTCCCACATCAGGTTCCCCACAGGGAGCCTGCTTCTCCCTCTGCCAATGTCTCTGCCTCTCAATCTGTGTCTCGCATGAATAAAGAAAATCTTAAAAACAAAATTTTTCAGCATCTACAGTGGTTCTCATATTTTTCCTCCTGTGACATAGTCATTGGGTAGACTTTATGATTGGATTTTATAAATATTAAACCATTCTCATTTTGCCAAGATAAACCCACAGTTTAGTCAACATACTGTCAGGTCCTGTGTGCTAAAAATCGTACTTTTTTTCTATGGATGATACACAGATATACTACATAAACAAGACACCATAGCCAGGGTATTAAAATGTCATGGCAGGGGTAATTAGGAAAAATATGTCTAACAAAGGCTCCATGGGGTTGGGGGCAGCGATAATGGAAAACAAAGTTGAAGAATACTGCTTTAGGGCTGTCTTGGTCATTTTGAAATCAGAGTGACGCCAGCTTGAAAAATAACTGGGGAAGAAACTTTTCCACTATGTTCAGGCAAAGCCAAACAGCATTTTGACAGGAGAGGGACTGGCCGGACAGGCCCCACAGTGCAGAAGTGTGGGGCGTGGGACTCCAGTGGTTCAATTGGCAGGACAAGGTGTGCAAGCTAGAGAAACGAAACTGGAACATAAGGGAGGAGCTGGAGCCAGAGGGCCCCAGGGCCACCCTGAGGAGCTAGGCAGGGAGTCCTGAGGTCAAAGGTGAATCTAGCTGGGCCCACGTGCCTCTGGACAGAGGGCATTCCCGAGTGACCCCTGTGTTACAGGAAGCGGCCAAGGTGGGGACACGACCTCCAGAGGCCAGAATAGCTTTGTCAGGGGCCTCCCAATTTCATCCTCAGGAAGGAAGAAGGGGTGTGGTGGCTCCCAGGGGAGGGGGACTCACGCGTGAAACTTCGGAAGCCACAGAAGTCACGGGCAGGCAAGGGCAAGTGATCCCAGGGGCCCTCCTCATCCGAGTCCCAGGCCAGGGAGACTGAAGAGCTGGGAGAGCAGGAGCAAGAACGGTGGCCCGGGGAAGACAAAGAGGAGGAGGAGGAGCAGAGCGAGGAGGAGTCCTCATCCAGCTGGTCAAACTTCCTCTTTAGTGGCCCAGTCATGGTGGTGCCGGGGGTACTCTGGGGTCTGGGCATTGGCAGCCTGGAATGGAAAGGAGAAAGCTCTGAGCGGCAGGCCTGAGTGCAGGCGGTGGGTGCTTGGCCGCGGTCAACTCCGCCCTGGCCCTCCCAGGAGTCCCGGGCCCCCTCGGCTCCGTGTGCAGGGGGCACAGCTCCAGGAGGCTTCTTGCCACCGGCAGAGCACTGAGGCCCAGACCCTCATCCTGGCGCTTGCCGACTCCCACCACCTCTGCGCAAGAGCCTTCCCAGGACACCACCAGGAACCTTCCCCACCACCTCCCACAGCCCACCTCCACACGCGCAGACACCAGACCAACAGATGGACTGACAGACCTCGGCCTGGCCTCGCTCATTCCCCGACAGGAATCCTGGGGGCTGACTCACTGGCTGGGTGATTCACACGGCTTGCATCTGTGTGCCTTTGTGTGTGTGAGGCCGTCTGCCACAGCCTGCACAGCCATGTACGGAGGCTCTGCTTCCTCCTCCTCCTCCTCCACCACCAACCCGCAGCACACCCACAGACACACCAGCCTGCGCGCGCGTACATGCGCACACGCACACACACACGCACACACACACACAGTCTGTCTCTCTCTCTCTCTCTCCCCCCCCTCCTGTCTCTCTGGGGCCAGGTTGACCAGGGTACTCTGGGAAACAGGCTGGCTTTGACACTGGCCCCGATTCCCAGACACAGGACTTTCCGGAGCCCCTCCTCTCCTGTGACAGAGCCACTCAGACTTTCCCTCAGAAACTCCCGCCCCACAGAAGTCCCCTGCCTCCAGGCCTGGCTGGGCTTCATGTTTCTCTGACAACTCCTGTTTGATCTTAAAAATTTGTCTACATCTCCAATATCTAACCCTGTTTGTTTGAATTAACTTCCTATGGAAATTATCTTTCTCCCCCTTGAAAAACAAACAAAAAACCAACAACTCTTAGTGAAACTGATCGGTCAAGAGGATGTCCTGCTATCTCCTGTCACAGAGCTTACTGTGCCTCCCTTTTGGGGGGCTGAAAGCCTCCTACAACCCGGATGGCCTCGGCCAGGAGGAGTGGACTTTGCATTGCACCCTAGCTTGCCCCCCCCCACCCCCGGGGCCTCAACTATCCCTGGGAATCCCCAAAGGATAAAGGATGCAGTCCTAAGGGCTGAGCTACCTTGTCTCTCGGTGTCCAGCAGGGCCCAGGCCCAGGCCCCAAGAGGTCACCAGGAGGAAGGGGAAACGGTGCAGAGGCCCCAGGGCTGGGAAGCCCCTCCCCCACTGTCATCACAGGAAACGAGAACAGGAAAAACCAACCAAAAGGCTGCAGAACTCCCCTACTCAGGTGTCCCTTCTAAACACCCCTTCCCCCCTTGCCAAGCCTACTAGCAAGTCTCTAGATCCCAGACCTAAAGGGTGTGCGGCCAGCAGACTTACTGGATAAAAGTCTCCAGAAGCACAAAGCACGGCCTCTTCCCAGACAAGAGAGAAGCAAGAGAAACTCCCCTCCTCGCTAACCTTCACACTGGGGCCGGGGAAGAGAATGCACAGGTGCTTCCGGGGGCTTCTCAGCGGGTAGTTTCTCAGGCTTGGCACCCGCACCCCCTACAAACCACAAACAAAAACAACCCAGCTCCCAGCTGACCTGCAGGCTCTCCCAGGAGAGGGGGGAACTCACGCCCCAGAGCCAGGCACACACATACACACACGTGCGGACCCACAGAGACACACAGTAACATCCGTGGGCAAACCACACCCACTTACCCTGCTCCTACCAGCCCCGCAGGGAGACCTCATTCTTTCCCAACTCCAGATGCTGTCTACAGGGTGGCGGATGCGGAATCACACGCCCAAACCCCAATCCCCACTTTTCATCTCTGCCTGGCCGTCCCTTAGAAACATAAAATTCCAGAGGCCCCAAATCGAACCCCTTGTCTCTGTTCCCCACCAACCACCCCCCCCACCGTGCCATCTGTTCCTCTTCCTGTGTTCCCTATCTTAGTAACGGCACTGCCACCCACCCAGTTACTCAAGCCAGAAACCTGCAGCCATTGTCAATCCCCTCCCTCTCCCTCCAGCCACATCCAGGCCCCCCAGTCCTGCAAGTACATGCCAGCCCACTTAATGCACACAAGGCTAGGCACAGACACAGTGGGCGCTGGAGAGGTCATCAGCACACTGTGAAGAACCTTGGTTCCAGAACCAGACTGCCTGCCTTTGCATTGCACCCTAGCTTGGCTACGGCTGGACTGTTTGAGCCTGGTCAAGGTCCTTATTAAGCTCCCTGTGTCTCTGATTCTAGGTCTTAGAACTTCATAGGGTTGGGGGGGGGGTGTACGTAAATCAATACATGTCAAGTTCTTAGCGCAGTGCTAAGTGCTGAGTGAACATGTCATTCTACGCTGGGAGCTCTTCTAAAGGAGCTCCCGGATACAACATGTGAATCTCAATGATGTCCCGTGGAATGAAAGAAGCCAGACACAAGAATATATAAGTGAATGAAGTTCAAGGAAAGGCAAACGCATTCAGGGATGACACAAGTCAGAATTGGCGGCGGGGGCGGGGGGGGGGGTTGATATACACTGTGGACAATGACGGTGAGGGGTGGGGGGCACTTCGGGTCGGGTGGGTTTCTCGAAAAGTTCTCTGGTGATCTGGCTGGTGGTTCCATGAATGTATAAAACTGAAAATTCATCTAACTGCACACCTAAGATTCACATGCTTTATGTATTTTATATATGTCTCCTTCAGTTTTCAATCTATTATCCTTATGTCTCTGTCCCCACCACTACTGTCCACACCCCCTGCTTCTGCTCCTGCCATCCCCCTGCAGTCACAGTGATCTTCCTAAACCACATCTCTGCCTGCCACCCCGTACTTAGGAAAGCCGGCCCTTAGGATCAAGCCTAGAATTCCACGAGAGGCTGAAGCAGGCCTGGCTGCTGCCTCCCCATTCTCCCCTCACTATATTCCAGCTGAACTTGCAGTTCCCCTAATTGCTATGACCTGCCGGCCTCCTGGCCTTTGCACAAGCTGGAACCCAGCCTACTCTCCCTTAATAGTCACTTCCAAGAGGGCCTCCCTGAAACCCCCGCTCCTCACTCCTGACTCCATGTCTCTCTGGGCTCCCAGGGATTCCCCTACCGGGGCCCTTCTCTCGAGGTCTTGCTGTGGCCTCACTGCCTGGCCAACTCAGTACCCATGCCTAGAACAGCATCTGGCACAGGGAAGGCACCTCAATACCAGCAGAGGTGGACCTCTGGGGGTGACTGCTCAGTGTGATCTCCTGATCCTGTCAATTAAAGCCTCCACCAGAGGGTTTAAGCCACAGGAGGGGCGACTCTGAGAGTAGAAGCCCAGACTGCAGGCAGGTGCCAACATAGGCATCTCAGGAGGCTCCCTGTTCCCCAGAAGTAAACAAATAGATACCAAGAAAGCAGATTTAAGCCAGACACCCTGGCTCTGCCTTGGGCATGTCTACAGAATGGAAACTGAAGGTGAAGTCATTATATGCTCCAAGGCTGCAGACAGGAAAACAGGGACCCCAAGAAAGAGACAGCCATGCTACAGATTCTAGTGATGAACCCCTAGCAGGGTCTGCAGACCTAGGGTGTAATGAGGACCCAATCTCTTTGCCAACACCCCTCTGGGGTAGAGGGAGAAGGAGCAGCCCTTGGATCTGGCGCTTCCCTGTACCACCTGGGAATCCAGAGGCCGACAGAGGCAGAGGCAGAAGATGAGAAAAAGACTCAGCCAGAAAAAGGACAGGCCAAGTCAGAAGAAGGAATGAAAGATAGTGAAAGAGTCCAAGAAAAGTGTCAGACAGTGAGTCAGAGGAGGGGGGAGGGGCCCTGAACAGCTACCCAGGAATAAAGATCCCAACCGTGGCTCTGCTCCCAGGACCATCACCAGCCCTCTCCTAGGGTCCTGGAGGAAGGAAAAGCAATTCCCAGGAGCTGGCTCAGACAGAAATACCACACCCCTGAGAAGCCCCAGAGACAGGCCCCAGCCCGAATCAAAGAGTCAGGCTTCTTCCGGGATCTGCCTGGGGTGGGGGTAGGGGTGGGGGTGGGTGCCTGAGAATCAGGCCACCCTCCTGTCATTGTACAGAGGAGCTGACAGCTTAGGATGAGGGGGTGACACTTCCCCACTCTTCTACCCACAACTATCTACACACTCAGGCCACGCTGTGAATCCTGGGAAGGCCATCTCACCCTGGGCACCAGGAAAATGGATCATCTTTGGGGGTCAGGGGCCTATCTCAAAGCCTCTGGGAAGTCACCTCTTCCAGTTGCTCAGCAACCCCAACGCCCCAGCACCCCTGCCTGGGCTGATACTGGGGAGAGGGCACCTTCAGCTGCCTGCAGTCTCCTCGGGGAATCTGAAGAATGTGTCCTTTAACCTCAGAGCCCCAGGCCTTGGTCAGGCCAGCTCCCCCCAACACCTGGAGTCATGTGGCCCCAGACCCTCAGGAACTACTTCCTGGGAGGAAAGGACACGTCTGAGTACCCCTGGCCCCCACTGGGATTGGCTAGCAAAACAACCTGGGCAGCACAAAGAGGGCAGACAGGAAGCCTTAGTACACCCCATCCCCCCCATCCCTCTGAAAGTGATCCCAGGGGAGGGCAGTTCCTCAGCCTTGGCCTCCAGGGCCTGGCACTGGGTAGGTGCCAAATGTTTGCTGGCTACAGGAGGCCAACTGCTCCTGCAGAAGGGAAATTGCACCTGACAGCCACTGCTTCCTCCACCTAAGCAAGGCCCTCCCTCTTCATTCTTTCATTCATTCATTCATCCATTCATTTATTCATCCAACAAAGACGGAGCTCCTGTGACATGCCAGGCACTGTCAGGCACTTGGGCACACAGGGAGCAAGACCCACACTGGGACTGCACTCTTGCAGCTTTTGAATTCAACGGCAAGGAGCGTGCATGCTCCTTGGTGAGTGCTGGGATGGTGGTCAGAGGGGAGGGGCAGGAGGGGGAAGGCCGAGGGTAAAAGCAGTCTCCAGGAGGGAGGGAGGTGGGAAGAGTTCAGAGGGGGCACAGCCTGCGAGGGAGAGCCGGCATGGGGGGGGGGGGGGGCATCCTGGGGCAGGTTTCGGGAGCCAGGGCGGGCGGAGCAGGCTTTAGCCTGAGGCCACTGGAAGCCACAGAAGGGTTTAAGTGGGGAGTGACAATACCAGATTTGCATTTTAAAAAGATGGCTCAGGCTCCGGCCTAGGGGGGTGTGACTAGTTGGCACCGAGCCAGGGCTAGGTGAGCCAGGACAGGATGCGGAGGGCAGAGGGGAAGGGGAATAGGCTCGGCGACCTCCGGACGCGGAGACGGCAGAAGGCAGTGATGTCAAGGGCCCGGGGGTGAGCGGAGGCGGCCGGCACCAGGGGCCGCGAGACATCTGCGCGGAGGTGCGGGGTGGGCAGGGCGCCGGCAGGGCTCCTCCCGTGTCGGCGGTGTGGGCTACGGGTGTGACTGTGCCGGCGCGGGAGTGACTAAGTGTGTGACAAGTGTGCGACGGCTGCTGGGGCGGGGACATTCAAGGGTGCGTGCGGGTGGAAGGGCCCCGGGGAGGGGAAACCGAGGACCGCGAGGAGGTGGGTGCCGGGCAAGCCAGAAGTGCGTGGGAGACAGCCTACGTGTGCCCGCGGGTGTCCGGGGGTGTCCGGGGGGCTGCGCCCGTGACTCACCGCGGTGGCCTCCGCGCGCGCCGGCGACTGACAAGCAGGTGAGCGCCCGGCACGGTCCCTCCTCCCCCCGCCGTCGGGCCGTGACTCACGAGCCTCACTCGCGCTCGCGCTCCCCTCCGCCCCCTCCCCGGCCCCCGCCGCCCGGGGCGCGGCGCCCGCCCGCAGGGGGGCGGGAGGCGGGGAGCCCGAGGAGGAAGGCGACGAATGTCACCTGCTCCGGCCCCGCAGCAACTTCTGAAAAGTTCTCGGCAACTGGGTCAGAGGCAAACTCCAGGGGCCGCGCGCACCCCGACACCCGCGCCCGCCTCGGCGCTGCCACCGCGCCCGGCTCCACTTCTCGGGGTCCCGGCGGCGGCGGCGCGGGGGAGGGGAGCGGAAGACCTGCCCCCCCTCCCCGCCCCCCCCCGCCTCCCTCCCCGGACGCCGGCCGGGCGCGGGCCGGGCGCGGGCCTCCCCGCCCCGGCGCCGGCCCCGGGCGGCGGGGGCAGCCGGCAGGGCGCGGGGGCGCAGCCCGCCCCGCCCCGCCCCCCGCGGGCGCCCCCTCCCCGGGGTGCCGGCCCGCCTGGCCCGTCGCCCCCGCGCGCTCACCTGCGATCCGGGCGCTCCCCGGGCACCGACGCCCCCGCGTCCCGGCCGGGGACGCCCCCGCGCCGCGACCCCGTGCGCGCTCGCCCGGCAGCCGTCGGCCCCGCAGCCCCCGGCTCTGCGCGTCCGGCGGCGGCGGCGGCGGCGGGAGACTGGCTGCGCCCGGCCCCGCCCGCCGCTCCGCCCTCCTCGTCAGTGGAAAACTCCGGGGCTCGCCGCGCTGACGCACGCCCGGCCTCCCGCCAGGCCGCCCGGCAGCCCCGCCCCGGAGGCGCCGCCTCCCCCGCCGCCAGCCCGGCCCGGCCCGGCCCGGCCCGGCGTGGCGGCGGCGGCGGCGGCGGCGGCGGCGGCGGCGCGGAGCGGAGCGGGGCCTGGCTGCGGACTCTGACCCCGCGCGGGCGCGGGCGCCGGCACCGCCCCGCCCCCCGCCCCCGCCCCCGCCCGCCGCTCTGGAAGTGGCCGACGCTCCCGGCCAGCAGAGCAGGGCCGCGAAGATCCCCACCTCGCCCCACCGCCCCCATTCGCAGATGGGTAGCCTGAGGCCCCGGGCGGCGCGGCGTCCGGAAGGCCACCGGGCGACGGTGGCAGGGCCGAGGCCGTCTCCGGGCTTTCACCCCCCGCCCCGCCCGAGCCAGCTGCTATCACCCAATCTAAACGTCCTTCCTCTGCGCCCTCCTCACCCCCACCCCATCTGCCAGAAAAGTAAACTGTGGCTGGAGAGAAACCTGAGCAGGGAGGGGAGAGAGGTAGCGGGGAGGGGGTGGAGGTCATCAGGGGTCTGACCTTCACCTCTGCTACGGACCAGAGACCCTGCAAAAGCCCTGAGCTGGGGATTCCTGGAAACAGTCTCCCCCAACCACCCCCACCCCATCCCTTCTTTTAAAAAAAAAAAAGAAAAAAAGGTTCTTCCGAGCCAGACCCTGGCCACTTAAAATGGCCCACTGCCTTCTCTGCTCCCGCCAAGGCCTTTCCTGACTAGGGGCCAACTTTCCCTGCATTATTGCGCGGGGGAAAGTGTGTGCATGCTCCGGCAGCGAGCCCCGGCCTGGAGACCATCCCCTGCCCTTCTTCCCAACCTCAGACCAGACCTTACCCCCCTCGCGTCTCCCTTGAGCGTTCCTACCTTCACACCTTTGCTACACAGCGCTCCTCTCGCCTGGAATGCCTGTCTGCCTTCTAGAACGCTGCTTACCAGAATCTCACAGCCTTCAAGGTCTCAGCTTGCACTGCCTCCTCCAGGGAGCCTTCGTGGGAGCTTGACCCTCCCCCTCCCAGTCCTGCTCCCGCTGCATTCTGGGTTTTTCTCTGACTGTCCTAGATGAATGCTGTCACTGACTAGCCCAACCCTCAGGATTCCTTTCTACCTTCCTTCAGGTGGGGGGTGGGGGTGACCTCTCCTGCCTGGGTGGCTCTGGGGTGGAGATGTCGGTGAGGGCCTTTCTTGAGCCACAGGTGCTTGTGTAGAGTGGGCCAGAAGGGGTGGGCTTGCCCTTTACCTTTCCAGGGAAGAAAAATGGAAGCAAAGCAGGTCGGAGGAAGCTATAGCTCTTGTCCTTTGCGTTTGTATTGAGTGTGCGTGCCCCGGGGAACTGTAGAGGTAGGTGTCTGGACAGCTGAAGAAAAGCCTCCAGTGACTTCCCAGTGTCCTTAAGGCTCAACTCTGTGGGGCCTACAAAGCCCAAATAATCTGGCCCTTGCTCACCTTGGCAGCCTCACCTCTCTCTCTCTGTGCTCCCATCCCCCACTCCCCTGCTCCTCCATTTAAGTGTCTGTAATAGCTATACACGTCTTTTTATTTACGCACTGTACGTGTAATATTGGTACAGCTGCACGTAGTTTTAATTTACATGTGAGGTATTCTGTTCGAAATCTCATTAAGTTTCTGCCAGCATTCTCTCTGCCCTCCCACCCACACCTCTTGATAACCACTCCAGTCCTGTTTGCTGGCCATCGGTTTTGGGGCTGTGTCCTCCTCATCCTGATTCAGGCTTCCCAAGATGCTCATCTCCAGCCAGCACCTACATTGCACTCAGTTGTGTGGTTTACTTGTACATTTCTTTGTGTTGTCTGGGGGTAATGGGAGGGCAGGGGCTGTGTCTGACCCTCTTGAGTGCTCAGTAAGAACCTGTTGAATACATTTGGTGTACCTGGTAAATGGGTACAGGGAGCTGAGTCGGGGCTCTAGGTGTGTGCAGGACTGGAAGTGGAAACGGAAGGCTCATCAGCACACAGTGGTACATTGAAGCCACAGGTGTGGCTAAAACAGCTCAGAAGGAGTTTAAAGGCTCCAGAGTTGGGTATCAGTCATTAGATGTGACTCAGCCCTTAAGGCTATGATGGCAGGAGGCCACCCACCCACCACCACCCCCTCAGACACTCAGCCCTGTCCTCCTCGTGGCTTCTGCTGGCTGCAGACCTTTTTGGTTCCAAGGAATCCTTTCTTTTCTTCTGCTGCTGCCTCCTTCCTGCCTCTAAATCCTCTGATCAGGTCCCCAGGAGAAAGGGGTTTCTATGACCTACAGTGGACTGGAGTTCTAGTCCTCCCTCTCTCTCTCTCTCTCTCTCTCTCTCTCCTCTCTGGACTTCAGTCTTCCAACTTGTAATATGGAGGCATTGGACCAGAGAACCCCACCAGCTTCAACATTCCTTGAGTTACTTTCTAGAAGATGCTGCCTGCTGATCATCTGGGCAGAGCTGAGCTGAGCCCTGGAGTTAATGGGGAGTCTCAGGCTGCCCAGGTTTGCATCCTGCTGGGCAGTGTATGGGAGAAACTGGACAAGACAGAGACCAGGTCAGGGAGTTGGCAAGGGCTGGAGTGGGGGCTTAGAGCAGGGAGACCAATGGGTCATAGGGTTTGAGGGGCAGGAAGGGAAGGAGAGAATAAGAAAATATAGGAGAAAAAAAATAATCAAATAAGTGATGTGTTTTCTCCAGTAAAGTGTCTCCCTGTCCTGGGATGGGCTCACCAGATGTTCCCCAGATGTTGTTGGTGATGGGAAACATCTCCCTCTGGGATCCCAACTAAGCTCTTCCTGTTCACGGGGAAATGAAGGGTCTGTTCCAAGGCAAGGAGGGTGGGGTCTGGAGCAACATCCATTTGTGACTGTGGCACATACATAGGCAGGAACACACCCACACATCCTCAGGGAATTTCTGAATACTTACAAGAGTGCAGAAAATTTCTCAAACATTCAGCATCCCTGGACCACCCATTTTAGGTAAATAAAACAATTATTACTAGTTTTAAATAAATATTTTTCAAACTTAAAAAGGAATGATCCCATCAGAAAAACTAAAATTAAAGAGGATAATGTCAAATGTGGGAAAACTGAGAATTAACCAAATCTATCGTGCATCTTCCGTTGATGAATTGATGTAATCACCTTGGAATCACGTGGCTGTGCTTAGTAAGGCTGAATATAGGTAAGCTCTGTGATCATCTACTTCTATTTCTCAGTGCTTTCCCAAGAGGGAAACAAAGTCCTTGTGCCCACCAGAAGCCACTTACAAAAATTGTATAGCGTCTTTATCCCTGATAACTTAGAATTGGAAACAACTCAGATGTCCAACAGATGAATGGAAACAAACCGATTTATCTTGCGGTGGAATGTTACATAACAATAAAAAAGAACAAATGCTTGCCCCATGCCACCACAGGGTGAATCTTTAAAACATTATATTGACTAAAAGAGGGCAAGCTCAAAAGAGCAGTAACTGTAATTCCATTTATTTATATGAAGTTTAAGCAGTGGAACTAAACACTGAGAGAGAGCATTACCTTTGGGGGTTTTGACGGGGAAAGGCATAACAGAGCCTTCTGGGATGCTGGAGATGTTCTCTATATGGATCGGGGCAGTGGTTAGACAGATACACACATATGTGAAAATTCAAGTTCTAGGCTTCAGATTTGTATACCTTGCTGGAAGTTTCACGTTGATAAAAGGAGGAGAGAGGGAGGGAGTGGCAATCAGGGAACAAGGATGCCGTTGTTCTCTGCCTTCCACCAGGAAGTCAGCCTGACCAGTGAGGGATACCTGGTGCTCGCAGGTCATGTACAACTATTTAGATTCCTTAGATGGGTAAGAATTTTATTCCAACCCTGATCCTTAGGTGCAGGGAGCCTCCTGTTATTTTGCACCTGCGAGTTTTACGGTTTTCGGTCTTGTGTTCAGGTCGTCAATCTGTTTAGAGTTAGTTTTTATATATGGTGTCAGGTCAGAGTCTAACTTCACCCTTTTGCATGTGAATATCCAGTTTTCTCAGCACCATATTTTGAAAGATGTTATTTTTCAACATCAAATCAAAGCAGCTGAGTCCACCAGAGAACGTCTACCTCACTCGTTGGGGATGCTCTCCAGTATGCTACCCCAATCCCACCAACTCCGAGGCTTGACTGAGGAATGGGGGCACCTCAGGGATGGCCTGGCTCTCTGATTTTCAGTCCATGTTGTCTGCTCGTAGCTAATGTGCTCCTCGCCAAAGCCTATGGATTCACAGAGAGTAGCTGCTATCTCAGAAACAGCTGAGTTGGGGTGGGGGTGGAAGGAGTCTTTAGCGAGGCTGGGAATGGGAATTAAGCTGCCTAAAGGTCCCTCTCTGAGCAGCCCTCTCCACCACTTCCTCCTCTCCCCAGTCCTGGGCTGGGGAGTCCTGCTCAACTCCACCTTGCCTCATCGTCCTCCCCTCAAAGGAACTCACCCCTTTAGGCCCCAATCCTGCCACCCACTCTAGCCCCTACAACAAACTAAAGGGATGGCTCTCAGACCAGCAGCCTCAGCATCACCCGAGAACTTGTTAGAAATGCAGATTCTTGGGTCTCCCCAGACCCACTAAGTTAGGAACTCTGGCAGTGGGGCCAAGCAACCTGTCTTTCACCAGCCCTCCAGTGGATTTGGATTCACAAAGGGGCTTGGGACCCACGGAGCTAAGGTCTTGGGAAGCAAAACCCAAGAAAGGGGACTGTCTTCAAGTACAAGTCTTGAACACTCTTGTTTGTCCAAACTGGAAGACTTTTTAATGGAGATCTGTGGATTAAAAATCTGAGCAGTGAGTTCTGGGTCAAAGGATTTTGACAGATATTGCCAAATTACCCTCCCCAAAAGTTGCCCCAATTTCACTCTCCAGGGTATCCC